TTGCCTTAACGAGCGCGCAGCTACGAATAATGGGAGCTCATTTTTTTTTGTCGGGTTCCGAGTAGGTTTCTAATCCAGCACAATGAAGAGCCTCTCGAAGGTGGAACAATTGCGATGAGGTAACTCCGAGTTTAGGCTCTCTGCCTACAGATATGGTGTGCTACATAGAAGGTGAGAAAATTATCGACAAATTGGACTGTGATTAGGCTCCTAATCGAGTCGATTGTTTGGGCTACCCACGGTTCGGAGTTTTTCTGCTGCTTGGCATTGTCGGGTTGCTTGGGAACTGTTTGCCGAGTCGAGGGTGAGCTCTTTTTGGACGGGTATTTATTGAATTAGATAGCATCCCATGATGGGGATAGGCGTTTGGAGATCACGGGGTCACAATCTATGGAGCGTTAACTGGATTAAGTTTCTATGTTTGCCTGGTGAAAACATCATTCTTTCATTTCATCAAGTACAGCGTTCAGTATACAATGATCAAAAGCGGCCACACAGTAATGGTATTAATATTGTCAACTGATGCAATTACTGCAACGCAACTATAAAAAAAAATCAATTATTTCTAGATGCACAGCTCCAAACGTCCCACTAGCACCGACTTACATCACATTTACCAACCTTCCCGAGCGTCCCCGTTACATCACTCGTACTAATTGAGTTGATGAATTAATCAACGACACATCGATCCAGAATGCTGCTGCTAGCAATGCAATACCAACCAAGCCACAAACCACGCATCATCCCCTCACCCTGTACTACGTAGTTCCTCGAGTGACAAGTGGCACGGCTCCCACAGGCATGGGGGCATCCACTTTTGTCAAAAATCACCGAACCACCAACCAGCCGCCACACCAAAAGCCAATTTTGCCACACTCAAACTAATGGTTTCCCGTTCTATTTCGGCCCAGGCTCAGAGTCACACAAATGGTCACACCGAGAGCCGGGAGTGCGAATGACAGCTTCCGAAAGGACTTTTTCAATCAATCTCTCGCTTTCACGTAACTTCCCCCGTCGTCGTGCTCCACCTCTCCGTTAGCTTATCACACGCAGATTAATCAATAAACCGGGATGCCCTATTTTCTTGCCAAAATGCTACGAGCCTCGCTGATGGTGGAATGGAAGTCAATTGCTTCGGATAGGGTTTGCCATTTCGACTCGAACGGATACACGCCATGTAAGAATTAATATTGAATTACAAATGTGGGTTTGCTCATGCTGATGGACCGTAAATTGAATCATCACTATAGTAGGAGTAGATTGCCGCACTACTCTCCTGTGCACTGCTGGATGGTTGGTCCGTGCATATCTCGAATGTCCATAGGGAAATCGATGCGGATGTGGAAGTGGGGGGGAAACCACTGCGGCGAGAGTCAGGTGTCCCAATTTTGCGCGTTGGTTTGCGTGTTTGTTATAGGGATGGTAGAGATGTGGCTATGCACGCAGTTAGACCATGTGACCAAGCGGATGGTTGGTCACATGGTGATATGATTCGATTTTTTTTGCGTTCTGCGTTGCCAGGCCTAAGCTGTGAGGCTGGACTACCTTGTAATTACATTTTATTGGAATTAGATTTTTCTGCTGATCAGGAATGCTGCTTGTTTTTGCTGAGTTTTACTCTGTCCTTGTTATGGTTTTTTTTCGGAAATTGGACAAATAGATACAGCAAAAATTAAAGCAAAGTTTAATGGTCGATAATTGGGTAAACCGGCGTTTTTTCATCTAACCTGTGCTTAGGTATGCTCCTAGTGGAAAGTGTACCAGTTATGGCATAAGTGCTCCAGTTTATGAACATATGGATTAACTAAAATTGAAATAAATGTTTGTGGTTTTATTTACGTAGATATAAGGCAAGATCTGTGTTCTAACCTGGCATGGAAATAAATTTAGATATGAATGCATAACACTACAAATTAAGATCAGGTCAATTATAGGACCACTACAGCTAAAAACAGGCTTACTTACTATGTACGGTAATAACATTAATTTGAATAATTAACTTGAAACAACAACCCCATTAATCAAATTTAAATTCAGTAAGGTAACAAAGGATTAATAACGTCATCAAAAGTAAGGATCCTTTTCCAAACAGTGATTAAACAGTATTCCTTAACGTTCATCTGTTACAAAACTAGGATCATTAATCTAATTTTCGATCTTTTTCTTCTAAAAAGTAAAGCAAAGATAATCATATTTCTTGCAATAATTAAATCTACAAATCTTCTTTTTGTGATCAAGATACGTAGTTTAGATTTTAAGTTCATGCAAAGGTAAATACAACTGGTAAAAGGTTGAATAATAGAATGTTTCCCATATGCATAACTCTCATGCGAACATAACTACGGAAAACGCGTGCTTGGAATAAGAGCTAACTTATGAGCTAGGTCAAGTAATTCCTTGGTTGCCACCTCACGGTGTCAAGTTGTTAAACAAAGCAAATCAGTGCATGATTCTAGGCAGTATCTAGTTTTTTTTTTTCTATTCTCGTAAGCAGTTGAAATGCGATGTTGGGCAACATTTTGCAGCTACACTGCAAGTAGGGTAGAGCGCTACTGCGTCGTAATCGCCCATTTCCGTTCTATCGATCAGAGAAGATCAATAATATCAATGATTTCACTACGCACAAATCAATAATAGGTTTGTTCCGATGCGTTAATTCATTAGCTATAACATAAATCCTATTTGTTGAGTACGCCCCTGGCGCAGATGCGCACCTTCCCATCCAAGACACCTTGCCTACACAAACATCAACGCACCCAGGTATAGTACGCACCTTCTCTCCAAAGACGTTGGGCAAACGTCACGGATAAACAATTGATAGTAGGCAACCCAGACAACCAGAAGTCGTATAACAATGTACAGACAGTATTGTAAATAACTACAGTTTAAGTCAACATCGCATATAAGTATGACATACATCGCATTGTGTTTAAGTTAAATCGTATAGAATGTAAATTTTCGTTTTATATGCGATGAATCATTTTTCCATCGTACTGTACCACAAATTAAATCGGATTACATCGTAAGACTTTTAAAATTGCATTTGTTATGACATATTAGATCGTATATGATGTCAAATCAACTCGTTTTATAAGAAATTAAAATTTACACGTATATGGCCTCCACTTTTGTAGGTATAAGCCCTGCTTTTGCATTCTATACGATATGATTGTTTGTATATATGTTTGTATATCACAGAAACAACTTTGAATATACGTGCATTCTGGTTGTCTGGGAAAACACCGTTGCCTCTGCCGTCACAATGGAGTGTGTCAGGCCAAACTCTGCGGAAAAAATGGATGCCAGTTCAAGCATCATGCTCTCCTGCACAACGACCATTATCAAAAATCGTCGCCAGCTACATCAGCGACGTCGCCATCTTCAACAACAGCACCCTCGACGAGTGGCAGTACGGAACATCCCAAAACAGGAGCTAGTTCAACAGCGCACGGTTGCCACACGCATCAAACCAAATCAAGCGACATACTGTTCCGTTATATTCCGGTAGTTCTGTACGGAAAACGTGGATCGATCCGAACTCACGCATTCCTCGACGACGGCTCCGATCTTACATTGCTGGACGAAGAGTTAGCTGACGAACTAAAGCTGGATGGAGAAGTCAGGTCGCTTTGCCTACACTGGACCGGCGGCACGCAGCGTCAAGAAGTGAAGTCAAGGGTCGTCGAACTGGAAGTAGCCGGTGCTGTGTACAAAAAGCCAAAAGTTTCACCATCAGTGGTGCACGAACAGTAAACGAACTTCTGCTTCCGTACCAGACGATGGACATCGAGGAACTATCATCTTTGTACCCGCATCTGCAAGGGCTTCCGATCGACTCATACCACGGTGTTCGGAAACGGATCCTGATTGGACTTAAGAACCAGCATCTCAGCCTTCCTCTCAAGTGCCGCGAAGGCAATCTAAGCGATCCCATCGCCATTAAGACTCGTTTAGGCTGGACAGTGTGCGGTGGATGCACGGCAGAAACTGCAATCAGCCCGGTGCACTCCGTCTACCACATCGGTTCTTGCGAGGACCAACACAGTTCAGATGAGGATCTACACCAAGTCCTCAAAGATTACTTTGCGCTGGATAGCTTGGGGATTATGAAGCCACAACACGCACCTATCTCCGTCGAGGATCAACGAGCACATTCTCTTCTCAATTCACTCACGAGGTTCACAGGGGAACGCTACGAAACTGGCCTACTTTGGCGTTACGACACAGTACGTCTACCGGACAGCCGAGAGATGGCTCTACGACGTTTCCAATGTCTAGAAAAGCGTATGCAGAAGAATGAAACACTCACTAAAACGTTGAAGGAGAAAATAGTGGACTATCTGAGCAAAGGCTACATACGGAAACTATCTGATGAAGAGTTGAGCCAATCGTTTCAGCGTGTTTGGTATCTTCCAGTGTTCCCGGTGACAAATCCAAACAAGCCGGGAAAGGTGAGGATCGTGTGGGATGCAGCAGCCAAGGCATTCGGAGTATCACTGAACTCTGTGTTGCTGAAGGGCCCCGATCATCTAAAATCACTATTTACTGTGCTGATCCGCTTCTGCGAGCATCCTGTAGCTCTGACAGGCGACATACGTGAAATGTTCCACCAAGTGTTAATTCGGGATGAAGACCAGCAGAGTTTGCGGTTCTTCTGGAGAGATGAGGATGGACAGATAGCAATATACGTAATGTGCGTCATGACATTCGGTGCTTGCTGCTCTCCTAGCAGCGCCCAGTACGTGATGAACTTGAATGCTGCACGCTTCGATCAGGAATATCCAGCTGCTGTGGAGGTAATTAAGAAGCAACACTACGTAGACGACATGTTGGTGAGCGTAGACACCGAAGAAGAGGCTATCAAGCTCGCTCAAGATGTAAAGTTCGTACACTCGGAGGGTGGGTTCGAAATCCGTAATTGGACCAGTAATTCTCTGCGCGTCCTAGAAGCCTAACCTGGAAGCAACGCTGAGGAGAAGAACTTGGACCTCTCACCAGAAATGGCAACCGAAAAGGTGCTCGGGATGTGGTGGTGTACATCGGCAGATGTCTTCACCTTCAAAGTCGGTTGGGACCGCTACGATCACGACCTGTGGGAAGGCCGCCGTCAGCCTACGAAACGGGAGGTTCTACGGGTCCTCATGAGGATATTCGATCCCCTTGGACTCATTGCGCCGTTCCTAATGTTCCTCAAGATCCTGCTACAGGAAATCTGGCGAAGCGGCATCCAGTGGGATGACAAGATCGACGGCAATGCCTTCGCCAAATGGTGCTTTTGGCTGCAAGTCCTGCCCCAAGTTGAACAAGTCCGAGTAGCACGATGTTTCCGCTCTCATCTTCTTCCCGGATACCATGATGTTCAACTGCACACGTTTGTAGATGCGAGTGAGAACGGTATGGCTGCCGCATGCTTCCTGCGCTTCGATCAGGCTGGAACCGTCCGATGCTGCTTAATTGCCGCCAAAACAAGAGTTGCCCCCTTGCGATATCATTCCATTCCACGGCTCGAGCTCATGGCAGCAGTTATTGGTACAAGGCTCTCCCAAACGGTCCTCAGCTCCCTGTCCTTCAACGTGAGCAAGCGATTCTATCACTCGGATTCCAGGGATGTGATTTGCTGGCTGTATTCGGACCATCGTCGCTACACACCATTCGTTGCCTGTCGAGTCGGTGAGATCTTGGAGTCAACAGAACCGAACCAATGGCGTTGGGTTCCAACCAAGCTAAACGTCGCAGATGATGGCACGAAATGGGAGAAATTCCCGGACATGACTCCAGAATCCAGGTGGTTCATCGGGCCAGATTTCCTGCGGGAACCGGAAGAAGCATGGCCATGTCAAATAGCGAAAGGGAGCAAGACAGACACTGAACTTCGTCCCCAACGTTTCCAGCTTGAAGCGGATGGTCAAAGTAGCTGCCTTTGTGCATCGTTTTGCGGCAAATTGTCGCCTAAAGAAGCAAAAGAAACCTGTTCATTGTGGTTCACCTTCCGCAGAGGAACTGCAGATCGCCGAGCGCTACGTGATACGCCAAGCCCAACGAGAAGCCTACCCGGACGAAGCAGCTATTCTGAAATCGGTGAACGGATCGCCGAAGCCCATTCCCAAGACCAGCCCGTTGTTTAAACTGACACCCTGGCTGGACGACCACGGACTGATGAGGATGCGGGGAAGAATTAGTGCCTGTACGCTAGCCACAGAAGATGCTAAAAACCCGATTATCCTCCCACGTGACCACCACACTACCAATCTTATTATTGCACACTATCACACTAAGTACCACCACCAAAACCATGAGACCGCTACAAATGAGCTCCGACAGAGGTATTGTATACCTCGACTACGAGCGACCTACGCGAAAGTACGCTACAACTGCCAACACTGCAAAAATCATCGCGCAACCCCACAGCCTCCAATAATGGCCGATCTTCCTCTAGAGCGACTCGATGCCTTTGCTCGACCCTTCACCCATATTGGCGTCGACTATTTTGGACCAATCGAAGTCGTCGTAGGTCGTCGAGTGGAGAAACGGTGGGGAATGTTGGTCACATGCCTGACCACTCGTGCGATCCACATCGAAGTAGTACACACTTTGAGTACCGACTCCTGCATCATGGGCCTCCGAAACTTTGCAGCACGCCGCGGAATGCCCAAGACGATCTATAGTGATCACGGTACCTGCTTCATTGGCGCGAACCGCGAATTGGGAGAGGCAGCAACGGCGATCAACCAGGACGAGGTGATGAAGGAGTTCAGCGGTTCCGAGACCACCTGGAAGTTCATTCCCCCAGCGTCGCCGCACATGGGCGGCAGTTGGGAACGCCTTATCGGTATAGTGAAGCGGAACCTCATGGAAATCCACCCCTTGCACAAGCCTAACGACGAAGTGCTACGAAACCTTCTAACCGAGATCGAATGCACTGTTAATTCTCGGCCGCTTACACATGTTCCGGTTGATGATGAATCTGCACCTGCTCTCACCGCGAATCACTTCCTACTGAGGTCATCCGACGGAACGAAACCGATATGTACCCTCGATGACAGCGGAACAGCACTACGGCAGACCTGGCGAATGTCTCAGCAGCTAGCCAACCAGTTTTGGAAACGTTGGCTAAGTGACTACTTGCCGGAGATCACTCGACGAACGAGATGGTATGCGAACACGAAGCCGATAGCGATTGGCGATGTGGTGATCATCGTTGATCCGAAGCTGCCCCGGAACTGCTAGCCTAAAGGCAAGGTCATCGGAACTTACATCAACAAGAACGACAATCAAATCAGGGCGGCAACCGTAAGAACTGCGAACGGTGTGTTCGAGCGCCCTGTGGCCAAGCTGGCTATATTGGATGTACGGCGCGACGGACTGTAAGCCGATCAGAGGATCGGCGTACCCGGGAGGAGTGTTGAGTACGCCCCTGGCGCAGATGCGCACCTTCCCATCCAAGACACCTTGCCTACACAAACATCAACGCACCCAGGTATAGTACGCACCTTCTCTCCAAAGACGTTGGGCAAACGTCACGGATAAACAATTGATAGTAGGCAAAACACAAAAACATAAAACACCAATTTAACGTGCGGCATCAATGAGTTTGCGGTCTAAATTTAGTTAGTTTTTTCCGTTGTAAGTTCAAGTCATTAAATTAAATTACTAGTGTAAAATCAGCTAGGTATAATTCTATTTCTAAAATTCGTTAAAATTATTATTTACAATTAATACCTTTTCCATAGTGTTTGATAAAAACTAGTGAACTTATCATAACCTAAAATCTACTTACATCCTAAACCTACAGTAAAGGTAAAATTTATAATCTAAAATACTAAGTAAATACTTAAATCTAGATTGCTTTAGTACGGTTTATAGGATTCAGTACGGATAAATTGTTTGCTAGATTGCCTGTTACGACGGCCACCGACAAAACGAGACGATCTCGTGCGACCCGTAATTCCGATCGCTTGCAAGTGTAGCACAACGGGACTAAACGTAAGTTACAAAAGAAAATTACTAATGGACTAATATTAAGATGCAAACATGTTCACTAACGTTACATCCTTCCTGAACCTTTTTCCAGGAATATAATAATATAATTAATGAACGTAAATCCCACGTCTTCGGTAGTTCTAATATTATTGTATTGAAAATCTCCCTGCGTAAGTTGGCAAATTCCCAACACTATTAGAGCGCATTGTATGAATATTTACGCTCATTGTTCTCAAAACAAAAGAAGCACTCCTAGCGAATCCCCTTTTTCTACGTTTATCCGTAGGACGAAGAAAATCTAATGGCGTTTCAATGCGATTGGACGGAATTGAAACTCGTAGGACGAATTTAGAATCAAGAAGCAGTATTAGATTGTATACAATATCTCAACAATTTGTGACTCTTTATCAAATTCAACGGTACGTATGGAATGGTGAATAAATTTAGAAGCCATATTTGACAGAAATATTCCATTTTTTGTTCAGACCCGTTCAAAAAAGAGAGGTAAAATGCGGGTTGTGCTTAGTATGACGGAAATTGGATCAAAAACCCTACACAGGTAAAACAATGTCATTTAAAGTCAACAGGAAAGTGTTTTCATACTCTACAAACTGTATCAATACCGTATGCGTAATAATGTTTGCAGATCTCGAGTTTTTTTTTAATTTATTCGAAGGGGGGATGTTCCTCAAAGTCTTAAACTATGTTAAGCATCGATCGAGTTTCAAATTGCTCCAACTACGGCCTCCACACGCTTCCGGAATGCACAGCAGGTTCTAATAATGTAGTCTGGATCCATTTCTCTCCAGGTACGGGTCAATGTTTGTCTGAGGCTTGCTGTACTCTGTCGGATGGCAGTTCGTTCGCGAGTGAAATAAGGAAAGTTGACAAGATGGAGCCATTCGACATACTCCGGTGGCGTTTAGAGCAGGCCTTGGTCTTCATGACGCGAGTTAAGTTTATACGGATGTGATAAACTTTTTTAAAAATAACTTCTTAACTACTCGCTAGCTAAAACCGAACTTAACTTTATTTTTCAATCAAACCTAACTACAGTTCATATTGCCTATTCTGCATTTCCTCCGCTGGTGCCATCGTCCAAATTCCGTCCGTTGCCATTGTCGATCAATTTGCCTTGCCTTGCATGTTCGTAGCTGCCCGTCCGGTGTGCCGTCGTTGCCAAGTTCCAAAGTGCATGTTCAGAATCAGGTTTCCAGCCAGGTGGCTTCGGTGCTAACTCGTCTCTTTCCTAAGATTCGGTTCCGTCCGAATCAAATCTGTTGGAGAAATGTTCCTAAAGGTGTCCTCTTGAAATTTGTTGGCTGTAGCTGTTGCTGTAGTTAGTGGGATTCCTGGTGATTGGCTGTTGATGTTTACTTTGATAGTCCGTTTTCTGTAGAAGCAATATCTTAAAATGATAGAACCAATTATAAGAGGAGTGAATGAGATTCCTCCGAAGATGGCCAATGGTGACCAATGGATGCTATTTCTTGTTAGCCGGATGACTTCCAACTCCTTCCTTGTTTCCAGATGTAGCTCATGAAGATGCTCCAAGGTAATGTTCAAGATCTCATGATGTTTCTTGGCCGCAATTCCTTAAAGTGTTAGATGAATTGGGTTTCCTGGAAGTTGTTGACTTCTACCGTTGTTTATTTTTACGTAGCAGTTGTTGAAGGAAATAACGAAAGAACCGGATAAATTTCTCTCCGTTATTCCGCAATTGGATGACAGCTTAAAGCTTGATTTTGAATTTATCAGTAAATGGTGGTCATCTAGATAGATGATTTGGTTATTAGCCGGGTGGGAAGTGAAATTGCATGTTGCAGAATTTCCTCTTAGCAGTCGTGGCATGCATGTTGTATTATCCAAAATAATATCTCGTTTTCCAAAAATAACTGGTTCTACTGACTTGATTGCGTAAATTTCTTCCTCGTGGGTTATATAAAATTCGTTGGAGATGTGGATCTGTTTACTGTCGTGTATGATGGGGAACAAGCGTACTTTGTTGAAAAACCTTGAATCGAGCTTAGGCATTTTGATGATGAGAGCGATGTGCAAGTTGTTTGATGTAACCGATGTTGTCGCATAGGTCGTTGCTTCGATAGCAGTATGAACTGTTATATTCTCCCTAGCTAGATCTGCAATCAAAATGTCTATCTCTCTTTGACTTAAAATTTTTATTTTTACTAACCCTAACTTTTCTAAGACGATTGTTCCTATTATTTGCTTTAATTTTTCTAGCAAATAGTTCAAGTGAAACAAAATTTTAGTACAATATATTTCGACTTACCCTACATTGAATAGACTTATTGCTTTTTTCGTTTTGAAAATGGCCTCTTTCAATTGCGAATTCAGTTCCCGATTATTTTTTCCTGGTCGTTATTTTTTATAATTAGATTATTAATAGAAGAATTAATTACTTTCAAGTCGTTTGCGTCTGGTGTACCAGCCAAATATTTCCATCCTGTGTGTGTGTGTATTCAATCTAACCCCCACTGGCCGGCAGTGGTATTATGGAAGAAATTTGCTTACAATAATCCTTGATGTAATAATTTAAAGCAAGTTTAGTCCGGGAGTTAGAAAGCGATAGCTCTACTGCAGATTCAGCAACCCATTTCAGAATGCCTGGTAATTCACGTCCATTCCGAGGTTACTTTCACATACAATAAGCCCCGCATGTAAACACTACCGTTATCAAATGAATAATGGTACTGCAAACACACTTCCAGATTTCGAAATGTGATGTTTCGAAATCTGGCGCGTATTTAGTAATATATGGAAATGTGCATTTATGATTGATTATAAATCAGATGGATCTCACCAAATTCTGGCGCCGAAAAAGGACCGGTTTCTTCACTCGCGGTAATCGAAAAAAAATTCCGCGTTGTTTTTACAACGCAACACGACATTTTGAATCACATTCGAAGTTTTTCATTTGCATCGAATTTTTGCTTGGAAGGCAGAACGCCAGCACAAAGAAAAGAGAAAAAAATACCCGGTAAAACTCTTCTTGGAAGGAAGGCAAAGCACCAAAAACAAGCGAAATGAAAAACCGACCGCCGCGACATCACAGCAACACAGCTACTCGAACAAATTCTTGTCCCAGATTTTTCACGTTAATTACAATATCACTAATAAAAACTGCTTAAGACGTGATAGATCTTAATTTACACTTATCCACACGCGAAAACTAATATTGGTTTGATTTGGTACAATTAAAAAATATGCGAAAAACAGATGAAATCAGCGCCAGCGAAAACAAAACCAACCGTTCGCGGGCAGAGCCTACTGCGTTTTTTTCAATCACACAAAAATCCACCAGCCAAATATTTCCATCCTGTGCCTAAACTATCCCATCGTTTATGTCGCCTTATTGGGTCTATGTTTCTGAAGCAAAAATCTATTTAATTGAATTTTTCAATTATCAAGTCGGTGAACTGATTATTCTTAAAATTTTCAAACTGTAATCTGAGGCTTTTTACTTGCGATTTAATATTAGTGAGATTAAAATGGTGGATATAGTACTTGTAGTGTAGTCTAATTCGTGCGTCGCCCTGATGGAATATCAGGATTGGATTTTGTCCTACGTCTCGTATGTCAATCGTCACCTCCTGTCCTGATTGTGTTAAGATTGGAAAGAACAGTAGCAGTCTGAAAAATAAATATGAAAGCTTTGTTTAAATTTTTCTTATTTTGATATCATCCTTATGGATCCGTCGTCCACAATCTGTCGTTACGGTGCTTTTATTTACTTTAGAAATTTTGATTTTCTTAAATCGTTTTTTTATGTTTCAGTCTCTGTCGAGTTGTCTCGATTGCGTCAGTATTGTCTCCCATTGGGGTAAATTTCGTTTTCTTGTTATGGTGAGGCAATGAATTTTCTTGTGTTTGCTTTAAATTTCGATAAACTTTTTCGATAATTTCTGGTGTTCGAGGAGAAGGTAAAATTATTTCTAGTAGGGTAAATTTTGTTGAGAAATGGATGGTGGAATTGTATTTCTGAACGGATAATTGGACTAGATCAGGGACTGGTGTGTTGGGGTGCTCGGTTTAGGTGATTCTGTGAATTTCTAGGAGCGTTGAATGGCATCGTTCAACAGTTCCATTCATTTCACTCCGGCCGGTAGTTGACAAGCTCTCCCGTCATAAAGGATTTTTCTCCATCCATTACCAGTGTATCTGGTGGTTTATACTTAAGCAAAATATCCTTTATAGCTAGTGTGAGGTCAATGGCTGCTCTAGATTCT